GGACCAGCACATTTTAATATAAATGTGAGAGATTATCTAAATTCGGTGTTACTCAGTGTATCAACAGCGATGGATCGGAAGAGGAAACCTATTTCCATGTCCAACCAGATCCCCACACTTAACTTGTTTGGATTTTTATTTATGGGGGCGGTTAATGGTGTTTCAAACTTAACCTACAACCAGAGCAGACATAGAAAATAGGATTCGGAATGCCATTTATAACCAGGAACAGAAATTTAAGGCGCAGTTTTTTCCACGCAAGAGAGGCTCCAGCAATGGATAGAACGTGATGAACGGCAATGTGAGTATTTAAGGAGGCATTAAACAAATTTTTAGAAGCCCGAACTAATTTCTTAAGGGCAATTAGGTAGTAGTAGTTAGTTTCGCAATTATCATGTGTTTAAAATTATATTAATTTTTATTAATATGCCAAATTTTCGCTTCTAATTGGACTAAAAAACAATAGCATTTTGGAAAGCATTCCTCGCTCTCAAAAGTGAGATGAAGTATCTTCTAAAAGTGTTTTAACAAACAAAACTATTATAGTTTCTTATTTCAACTTTAAAAGGCATATATTCTTCTGTAATGTTAATAGAGTGGAATTTCGAAAAAAACAACATTTTGTAATTCAAGGTGGCATTTACTCCCCCCTAGCGGCTATCCTAAAAACCTGAAAATAATTTCTAGGATTTTTTGTCGGCCACTTTAGCAATTAAATTTTGTACCGCACGTTTTTACAAGTAGTTTCCGAGATAAAGTACTTTGCAGCTTATTTGGCCACCCTATACAATTTTATTTCTAAGTAGCATTAGCTATTAAATTTCCCTCAATACATATTATACCATACATTTAACTTTTGTGGTCTTTGAGTACGGTTTTCTTGCATTCAGCGTGGCTTTGCATTATTCTTACACAATGTTAAAGTTGCTTCGTTGTTAAAAGATATCTTTTTAAAGCATTAGCAAAGTATTGGATTACTTAAATGTAGTTATCATGTATTAGCAGAGATCTGCGTACGGATGCATATCCATGGATCTTCAATAAAACTCGGCATAGCATCTAAAGTTTTGTTGTCGTTCATAACAGTATTGGCAGACCTTTTTGAAACGCTTCCAGTTTCCCCAAACGTTTTACAGTTTTTTGCACAGTCGCGTTGTAAATAGAAAAATTTGGGTTGAAGAAATCTTAGAGAAACGACATAGTTTGAGGAACTTTTCTAAACGCGAGAAACTAAAATCGTTAAAAACACTACAAAAACATTTGGCAGTTAATGGGTTAATAAATCCCTTTGTGATAATTTAAAGCTGTTTTTACTTTTTACCCTGTAGAGTAGAGTGCCTCGCATATGTAAAAGAATGTTGTGCAAGGTTTTGTAATTCAAATTTATTGATTTATCGACCAAGCTCTAGATTTTGTGGAGTCTGTTATTTTTCTAAAAGTAAATCGAAGCTTCCAGGAAATAGCTGCAGAAACAAATTCGCAAAAAACAATCGCTCCCTGCTCCAATAAGTTGTTAGATGTGGTAGACTTTTCAAGTATCCCAATAAAAATAGGATGAGAAATTAGGACGGAGATATTTCGGACGAGGAGCCCATTCATTCTACAACGTCTACCAATGCCCACGAAATACCTCATCTAGATAATGCGAGATATTTACACCAAATCGATGTGTTGAAGTCATATCTGATTCAAATTGGTTTCTCAGTGAATGTACAATTTCATTTCTAAGTATTAGTTATTAAATTTCCCTCGATACTCATTAGACCTGTCCATACATTTAAATTTTGTGGTCTTTGAGCACGGTTTTCTAACATCCAGCCGCGATTTGCATCATTCTCACACAATGTTAAAGTTTAAAACATATCTTGCTAACGAAATTTCCGTCTGTTGTAATTTTTTGCATCATTACTACTTTCAAAGTCATCCAATTCTTGCATTAGTAGAGTATTGGATGACTTCAATTTAATTTTATGTAATATACGTAAGATTGAAAAATGGCTTAATCATGTATTAGCAGAAATTTGTTTAAGGATGCATAGATTTTCAATAAAACTCTACATTGCATCTAAAGTTTTGTTGTCTTTCATAACAATATTGGTAGACCTTTCGAAAAGCTTCCAGTTTGCCAAAACGTTTTATAGTTTTTTTGCACTGTCGCGTTATAGATAGAACAATTTGGTTTGAAATCTTAGAGAAACGATATAGTTTGCGAGAAACTAAAAACGTTAAAAACATGGCAAAAACATTTGGCAGTTAGTGGGTTAATAAATCACTTTGTGATAATTTAAAGCTGTTTTTACGTTTTACCCTGTAGAGTGGCTCGCATATGTAAAAGAATGTTGTCCAAGGTTTTGTCATTCCAATTTATTGATTTATCGACCAAGCTCTGGATTTTGTGGAGTCTGTTATTTTTCTAAAAGTAAATTGAAGCTTCCGGGATATAGCTGCAGAAGCAAATTCGCAAAAAACAATCGCCCCCTGCTCCAATAATTTGTTAGATGTGGTAGTCTTTTCATGTATCCCAATAAAAATAGGATGAGAAATTAGGATGGAAATATGGCGGACGAGGAGGCCATTTAATTTAAACGTCTACCAATGCCCACGAAATACCTCATCTAGATAATGCCAGATATTTACGTAAAATCGATGTGTTGAAGTCATATCTGACTCAAATTGGTTTCTTAGTGAATGTACAATTTCATTTCTAAGTAGCATTAGTTATTAAACATTTAAGTTTTGTGGTCTTTGAGTACGATTTTCTAGCATTCAGCAGCGATTTGCATCATTCTTATACAATGTTAAAGTTTAAAACATATCGTGCTAACGAAATTTCCGTCTGTTGTAATTTTTGGCATCATTACTACTTTCAAAGTCATCAAATTCTTGTATTAGTAGAGTATTGGATGACTTCAATTTAATTTTATGTAATACACGCAAGATTCAAAAATGGCTTAATCATGTATTAGCAGAAATTTGTGTAAGGATGCATATGCATAGATTTTCAATAAAACTCTGCATTGCATACAAAGTTTTGTTGACTTTCATAACAGTATTGCTAGATCTTTTCGAAAAGCTTCCAGTTTGCCCAAACGTTTTAGTTTTTTGCACTGTCGCGTTATAGATAGAACAATTTGGGTTGAAGAAATCTTAGAGAAATTAAAACCGCTAAAAACATGACAAAAACATTTGGCAGTTAATGGGTTAAGAGAAATCACTTTGTGATAATTTAAAGCTATTTTTACTTTTCAAAACGATATAGTTTGCGAGAAACTAAAAACGTTAGAAACATGGCAAAAACATTTGGCAGTTAGTGGGTTAATAAATCACTTTGTGATAATTTAAAGCTGTTTTTACGTTTTACCCTGTAGAGTGGCTCGTATATGTAAAAGAATGTTGTCGAAGGTTTTGTCATTCCAATTTATTGATTTATCGACCAAGCTCTAGATTTTGTGGAGTCTGTTATTTTTCTAAAAGTAAATTGAAGCTTCCGCGAAATAGCTGCAGAAGCAAATTCGCAAAAAACAATCGCTCCCTGCTCCAATAATTTGTTAGATGTGGTAGACTTTTCAAGTATCCCAATAAAATTAGGACGAGAAATTAGGACGGAGATATGATGGACGAGGAGGCCATTCAATCTACAAAGTCTACCAATACCTCATCTAGATAATGCCAGATATTTACGCCAATTCGATGTGTTGAAGACATATCTGCTTCAAATTGGTTTCTTAGTGAATGTACAATTTCATTTCTAAGTAGCATTAGTTATTAAATTTCCCTCGATACTCATTAGACCTGTCCATACATTTAAGTTTTGTGGTCTTTGAGTATGGTTTTCAAAGCATCTAGCCGCGATTTGCATCATTATCACACAATGTTAAAGTTTAAAACATATCTTGCTAACGAACTTTTCATGTGTTGTAATTTTTTCCATCATTACTACTTTCAAAGTCACCAAATTCTTGCATTAGTAGAGTATTGGATGACTTAAATTTCATTTTATGTAATATACGTAAGATTGGCTTACATCATGTATTAGCAGAAATTTGTGTAAGGATGCATATGCATAGATTTTCAATAAAACTCTGCATTGCATCTAAAGTTTTGTTGTCTTTCATAACAGTATTGCTAGATCTTTTCGAAAAGCTTCCAGTTTGCCCAAACGTTTTAGTTTTTTGCACTGTCGCGTTATAGATAGAACAATTTGGGTTGAAGAAATCTTAGAGAAATTAAAACCGCTAAAAACATGACAAAAACATTTGGCAGTTAATGGGTTAAGAGAAATCACTTTGTGATAATTTAAAGTTATTTTTACTTTTCACCCTGTAGAGTGGCTAGCATATGTAAAGGAATGTTGTCCAAGGTTTTGTCATTCAAATTTATTGATTTAAAGAGAAGTTGTAAACAAACGAATTACAAGAGTGAAGGTATGTGATGACACCGACAAAAATAAAAAGTGTTTTTAATTTATGGCATTGAAACGAGAAATCCCAAAAATACTCTCTAACACCTCTATAAGCTCTAACGTGCATAGAATTTAATTTTCAAATGCGTCGAGCTTGATTTGGCGCCAGATACGGTCAAAAAATGGGGAAGGGGGACCGGTGTTGTTGTTGCACATCTTTTTTATAAGGAAAAAAGAAGAAAATAAGAGTTTAGATTTAAGAAGAAAAGGACGAATCTAAACCGGGGACGATTCGCGTTAGAAATTACAGAAATAGAAATGATGACGGACTTAAAGAGAAAGCCCCCGAAACGGACGTTGATTTTTTCTCTTTCTCTAATAATAATCATGAGGGGGAAGAGAAGAAAATGGGCCACTTCTATTTTGGTATACAAAATTGCGCAGGTTAAAACAAACGAAGGAAAAAAAAATTAATTAAAAAATAATAATAACAATAACAATAAAAACTGTTGGGTATAATAATAGTAAGCGAAAACGGGTACGACACATAAACTCTCTATCTATCTCAAGATTCTAGGGCATTAAACAGGACTCTTACCTGTTTTAGCCGCAATGACACAGATGTCACAAAATAAACATGCGAAACAAAACTGTGGATATGTCGAAAATATAGTTAAATTAATGTATGTGTAGAAAATAAGTGCGCGCGGAGAAATGATGTGAAATAGAGAATACAGGAGCACAGTGGAAAACGAACTGTGCGATTAGAAGAGACAGGCTCACTATTTTGTTGTGGATCAAATTCGTTTCTCTCCTCTCATCTCTGCGGCTCTCTCTTTTAACTTTTCACCATTCTCTCTCTCTTGTATCCACTTCTACAAAGCCGCCGCGGAACATGCCTGGCAACCTGCACGCAACCGACACCGTTCCGCCCTCCCACCACTTTACCATTCGGAAAATGCCACTCTCCCATTGGCTCGACAACCCAAAAAACGAACTGCGCACGTCCGGTGACGTCACGGCAGTTTCGTGCTGGCCGTTTCGCCTATTCCAACGGCCGCGTTTCCCTTCCCGCATCGCCGACCGCGTTCAGTTGAAAGCCGTTTGCGCAAAGTGCAGCACCCATTGCGTGTCGTCTCTCTACAAACAACAAATTTAGTGTTTAACGATTGTGATAAACGTCGCAAATAGTGCCAAAATAGGTAAGAAAAGCGTTTTTCCATTCGTTTCGTTCGTTTTCGGTGGGAAATTGTTGGGATTTTCGGAGATTTTTCGCGTTTCCGGTCCCGGCCCAACATGGATCGATTGAGCTTACGGACAAAGCTTTTCTTTCATGAGCTTTTACGATTCAATCCGATCGCGGGGTGGTTATAAATTTAACGGAATTTATTTCATTTATATCGCGTCGAGATTTTTTGCATTATTTTAATCGGATTTTGAAAGATTTATGATGGGTTATTGATGATTTTGTGGTGACGCCACGCCATTTTCCTAAGTTGCTTGGAAAAGCGGCCATTACTGGGTTTGGTCGCGTTGCTTTCCTTTCCCCCTCTCCCCTCCTCTACCCGGTATTTCGCGTGACGTCATCTAATCGTTTGTTCTCGATCACAGTTAACTTGTTTTTGTCGACTGGTAACTTATCATATTTTAACTTTATCCATTTATTATAAGAAATTTTTAAGTTTCAAGTTAACATCTTTTTTTATAATCTTTTTTTAACAATTTAACTTATAATAATCCAATTTTCTTTCAAATATTTTAAAATAAATTTTTTACATTCGTATTTATTCACGGAAAATTTTCGAGATTCCACAAATTATCGATGTCTTCTTATTAAAATTGATAAGCTCTAAAAGATTATTACTCTGGAATATTTCTATATCTACATTTTTAACATCTTTGTTTTATTTATATTTTTTAGAACGAAAATATGGAGGACGACCAACAATTTTGTTTACGATGGAACAATCACCAATCAACATTGGTGGCAGTCTTCGACACATTATTAGAGAATGGGACGCTCGTCGACTGTACATTAGCTGCCGAAGGAAAATACCTTAATGCTCATAAAGTAGTATTATCAGCTTGCAGTCCATATTTTGAGGTATTAATCAACATAAAATTGGTCTAAATTGTTTTTTAATGAATTATTTTTTTCTTCAACAGTCGTTATTATCACAAAATTACGACAAGCACCCAATATTCATACTAAAAGATGTGAAATACCAAGAATTAAAGGCGATGATGGACTACATGTACCGTGGCGAAGTAAACATCTCCCAAGACCAATTGGGTGCGTTATTAAAGGCAGCCGAATCCTTACAAATCAAGGGCCTGTCGGACAATAGAAAGGGCGAGACTGAAACGAAAAAGACGGTGGCGCCACCTCCGCCGCCCCCCGTTTCGAAAAGTCCCCCCCCGAGCGCGGCCTTACCCCGCGTTCAAGGCCTCACGATAGAACAAAGACGCAGAGAGATGGAAGAAAGTCGCGAAGGATCGCAATCGCCAGGGGCGCGTAAGCGAAAGAGAATCCGACGACGCAGTCTCGAAGATATCGAGAATCATCATGATGCCTCGAACTCGTCCGAATCTCATCATAGTAGCAGCCACGCGCCCGCCCAGAACATTCCCACAGCGCTCTCCGCCGCGGCGGCAGCTCCAATTAAGGTGGCCCCGCCATCGACCGACGTGCCTGAACCAGTAGAGTCCAAGTCGGAGATACTGACTAGGCACAAGCCGCCTACAGCTATAGTGGCCGCCGCAGCCGGAGACCCGGAGATCACTCAAGTTCCTACTAAAGAAAAACTAGAAACACATTCTGAACTGATGCTAGAACCAAAGGCTGAATATATCGACGAAATGAATGAGGACAGTATTGAAGATTTGACGCTTGATGATGATGATATTAGTAATATGGAGCAGATGGATGATAGCGGTGCAGGGCCTAGTCATGGGAATTTAGGCGAAGCTTCCGGACAAGGTTTGTATATCATTTTATTAAATACTTTTATTTATTTACTCAGCTAACTTCCAAATAGACTTCATCACAAATATTTAGTAATCAAAATTTTATCATTTTCAGTTTTTCCTGGAAAATGGATCAACTTTATTTTTATTTTTTAATAAAACATATCATATTTAGTCATTTTTGCTAAAATTTATCTAAAACTTCAAAGGTATAAACTGTACAATTTTTGATTTCCTCATTATTGCTGGATCTTTTTCTTGGCATTTACTTTCCATAGAAATTTCTGTTCTAAAGGCGCATATAATATGAGAAAAATGAAAGTAGGTTAATAAGAGTATTTATTTAATACACAACCATATTCATTATTAAATTATTTATAATATAACCTATACTTGAATCATAATTCTTGTATCATCTTTTGCTTTAACTTTGTAATTTGTCTTTAATAATTGCTATAACTATAAATTCTCAATTGTGATTTAAATCCAGGTCTTAACCATTTTTGAGTAAATTGATTTCCTTAAATATTCAACTGGTCTTTCCAAATTTCGAAATTCTACAAGATCAAACAAGGTTCTCATTTTCAATGACTGCTTTCTATTTCTAATTCAAGTTCTTTATAATACCCAAATCTATACCAGTAATTCCACACTTTCTTAATATGTTCAAAAGCGTTCCACGCTGATTTCTAGATATATTCACATATAATAAAGAATTAAAACTTGTGTTTGACTCAATTTGAAGTCCTTTTGATCCACTTAAAAGGATGGAAAAGCCTTACTTTTGTATCATTCAATATTATTAAGATATAGAACTCCTTCTTCATCATTACATCAAGATAAATCTTGAATCTCATTTCATCACATTTGATATTATATTGCTTAGAGTAAAATGTAGATTGGATGAAATAACATATGGAGCAGACTAAAAGGGTAGGTACTAGGGGCCAAATTGAAGATATTTTCTTGATAATGTTTTGACCACAACTTAATAATCACAAAGATATTATAGAACATTAAAGTTGAATGATAGGCTGAGCATTTCTAACTATATACAAAATAAACATTTGCAAATGTTTCAGGGTTACTTAAACAATGCATAATTAACAGAAATGATAAAATCTTTGTAACATGGCAGTTATGGCTATTTAAAAATTTGTTAAAACGCTCAAAAACTGATGTTTGTTTGTTGTGAACCTGATACCATGTTTTTATTGCTGCCAATCCAGTTAATTTGGTGAATGGTTTATACTAACCATGTGCAATGCAGCAAAATTTAGCACCTAAGTGAGTTAGCACAATGTATTAACTCAATTGCGCCATAACACAGTTGTCTCTTTCAAACTCTTAGTAAATGCAGGTTTTATACGTAATTAAGGGCTGGAATTTTCACCTACACATCTGAAAATCTTCAATAGCTATTTGACAGATCTGTCAGATTTTTAGCCCTGTCTAACTCCACTAAATGAGAATATGTTATGGTGGCGGTGTACAAAACGTGAATATAAGGGGGTACATGCCGCGTTTTGTACAACGTCGCCATTATATTTGCTCATTTGAAGGGCTATAATAGGGTGATAAATCTGACAGATCTGTCGCATAGCTCTTGAGGACTTTATAAATTGTTTGGCCGCCTGCGCCATAATGGTTGTGCGTTAAACTGCTTTGGGTCGGTGGCGCAATTAAGTTGACTCATTTTAAAGTTGGGTATCAGCGCACGCAACACACTGTATAAGTTAACTCAATTGCGCCTCGCGGTGTTATACATCTCTACTATCCGTGCAAAAAGTCAAAGCCCCTCACTTTAGACATAGATATACTTCGTAACCGCTCAATGGAAAAAATTGCTGTAAAGTTTATTGTAACCAGTAAACATTTCATATCACATGTTAATTTGGAAATTTTCGGATCCGCGGTTTTTCTTTTATCGCGAGTTAAGTAAAAAAAGTACCCGATTTTTGAGAGTGCCAGCAACTTTGTCTACTTTGCGATTTTTTTTCTCCCAAAACTATTTCACAAATTTGAGCTGGTGGTAAACTGATGTGTTCTTAATGTGGGGCATATTTCATTTTTTCGGTATTCCATCTAGTTTCGCGGAAAATCGCGGTTTAGTAGGATGCGGTTATTTCGAAAACGATCTGGCCGATTTCAACGCGATTTTTACCAAAATATGTCAAATAATGTCGGTTGTCGGATTCGGTTATCAGTTTTTCAAAATTATGGCTCCCTAATTTTTTAAGAGAGATTTAATGGAATTACAAATTAAAGAGAAACGGAAATAAGCTATGCGGAGAGAGGAGGGTTCCGTGCAATTGGAACAGATGGTGTGTTCCAGACAGTACGTCGCGCATTTATCTTACCTACCTAAAGAAATAAGGCGCGACGTCCTGTTTGGGACGCACCATCTGTTCCGATTAGACGGAACCCCCGTCACCCCGCAAAGCTCATTTCTGTTTCTCTTTAATTTATAATACTATTAAATCGCTCTTAAAAAATTAGGGAGTTCTAATTTTGAAAAACTGATTATTTGACATATTTTGGTCAAATCCGCGATTAAATCCACCCAGCCGTTTTCGACATAACGGCTTCTTACTAAACCGCGATTTTCCGCGAAATTGTATGGAATATCGAAAAAATAAAATATGTCGCTCATTAAGAACACATCAGGCTACCACCTGTTCAAAATTCAAATTTTTTCGTAGGATAGTTTTCGAAAAAAAATCGCAAAGTTGCTGGTACCGTAAAAAATCGGGTACTTTTTCATTTAACTCGCGATAAAAAGTAAACCGTGGATCCGAAAATTTTCAAATTAACATATGTTACGTAGATGTTCAGTGATTACAACAAACTTTATCGCAATTTTTTTATTGAACGGTTGCGAAGATATCGATCTCTAAAGTGAGGGACCTTGACTTTTTGCACGGATTTAGATGCAAGATAAGATGCAAGGACTGATTCTCGCTGATTATCCTTTGCAGCCACAATTTTGCGAGTGGCTAAATACTTGTTTCAGAGATTTTGTAATTAATTTTGCATTTAAAACATTATTACTAGACGTTTCATGAATTAACATCCATTATTTTTTTTAACAAATTACGTATTATCTAAAATAACAAAACTGCTGAAACAATAATGTGTCTAGTTTTACAGCTCCTTCAAAAATGATTATGGCGTTGACAAGTATTTTAATTGTTTTTTACTGAATATCAGAGGTTCTCAAAAGTGGACGTTCACTTATTTAAAAGATTAATATGCGATATCTACGTAACTATTAAGTTTTTAATAAAACATTAAGAAAATCTTCAGTTTGACTCCTAGTACCCACTCTTTTAGTTTGCTCTATATTATAAATCACCCTGTATAAAGCAATTTATAATGATAAAATCGAAATAAGAGAGTTGGTTTTAAAAAAGTTGATAAATTTTCTGGAAATGATAAGATGATGATTACTAAATGTTTGTGTTAACAAGGAATAGAAGTCCAACAGAATATTTACATCCGTTTAGAAGTTAGATAAGAGTTAGATAAAGTTATGTCCTTGTTGGGTATTTGTTTAAACTAAGAAATATCACTTGTATGCTGCCATTAATAGTATTGCCAATAATAGTAATAAAACCTGAATTAAGGAATATCTTAAATGTATTTACAAACAAAACATGTTTGATAAGTAAATAATTGTAATGCTTTCAAAAATTCAAAGAAAAATTTATGATATTGTGTAATTTTTTGGACGAGAAGTAGGAAATAAACAAACACTTATTACTTTAATCAACAACTTAAATAAAAATGTTCGAGTTTGTAGAGAGGGTTCAACAATTCGTCGCTAAGTTAGTGTTGTTTAATTTGTTTTGAACTTGTTCTCTTTGCACCAACTCAACCTCACCACAAACTTCTACTACATGTAACAAAGTTTACAGATTCCTAGAATTCATCCCTTGAGCATTACCCTTGGAATTTAGTCATTTAAATCCCTTGACAAAGCATTGCCGTTATCTATCAATGTTTACAAGTTGATAACAGACTGAGAACACTATTTTGCTAGGAATTATTTTACTTTGTTTATAAACATTTGAACATGATTTGATCTTTAACTTTGTTACAAAATGATGAGAAAGTTCTACATAAGCTTTAAAGTTTTACATAAACTTATAGAGCAAAAGCTTTAAGCATTTAACTACTTTTCTGGCATTTTACAAAATTTATTCAATTTGATTCGTGACCTTAATTTTTAATGTCAGAATGCAAAATTATAATACTAAAACGGTAACTTTCAATGTAAAACTTGTTTACATTTATAACAACGACATATGTGTGACTTTGTTGATGAATATTTTTGAATCTATTAGCCAAAAAGTATTACGTAGAAGTTAATTAAAATAAAACTTCACTTATGATAATAACCAATTTAGGCGTACTTTAATATTTATGAAAGGGTTGGCATAAAGTGTGATATGCAAAAATAAATTTTTTTAAATGTTAATTTATTTTTTCCAGGATTTGGCGGTTGGCATATGGGAAATCAAAGTCAAGATGAAGTGTTTTTAGCAGCACAAGAAGCTGTTGGGGCTCACCGCGACTCTCAAGGTAGGATTTGAAATCCATTTATTTGCACTCTTTCACTCGCATGCAATCAGTACATATAAATAAGGCAAAATAAAAATAATCGGTATTATTAAAAAAAATTTAATTTACCCGAATTTATTTCTGATTTGGAATTGACGTTTAAAACAATGAGAGATTTTTGGTATTGCAAATTTTTGTATTACCACTCTCAAAGTTAATGGAACGTTGGATTCTTAATTGGTAAATAAAGGGTCTTTTTTTATGTTAGATGGTTGCCGGAAAATTTATGTCCTGATTGCGTACTGGTTGAGGAGTTTTTCGGCTACACCTATGCAAATTGTATGGCAAAACTAACACCTCGAGTATTATCCAGTCTCTATTTTTATTTTTTGAAACGTACATAGTACTTGGTAGTTGTTGGCCTTTAGTTTTTATTATTACCCTTGCGCTTTATGTATTTATTTGCTTAGATTTTTTCCGTAGTTGCTTTGAAACATGACGTTTTATTACCATATTTCCCCCGTTGGCAAAAATTATTTAAATTTAACAATGGATATATAAAATTTTTAATTTTAATTGGAATTATTGAGTAATTACAAATTTATTTGATTTTATTTTTAATTAATTTATTAATTTGAACGATTCATTTGAATAATTTTTTTGGGTAATTGAATACGCGAAATTTCAAATCATTTTTTTTTCTAAAGATATCATCTTGCGTGTTTACGCAAAACGAAAGGTAGGAAGGGGGAGAATGGTTTTTGGAATCAAAATGAAAGCCCTAAAATTAATTTCTAATTCATTAATTTTTTGTTGTGGTGAAAGACTTGGCTTTCTCTTAATTTTTGTCACGTCGTGCTTGCGTCATATTGATTCCAACAATAGGGACTGTTTAGTCTCGGTGTTTTTTTTCACACTATCTTTATATTTTATTTGATATGATTTTCAATTTTTCAAACGTTATTTCGCTTTAATACGTTTATATTTTCCTTTACTCAAATTAAAATGTTAAGTCGATTTAATCCGTTTTTATTAATGATAATAAATAAGCCGTTTTGCCACGCAGTCGTAGGTGTATTAGTAATTTTTCGGGTAATTGTGGTCGCCGCGATGCCATCTTGCGCGTTGCGCAACGTGGCATCGCGTCGCCCCCATTTTGGTATTAATATTTGATATGTTGGCCTTCTATCTGATATTCTCTTATCTTTTTAATCTAACTGATTTCTACTGGTTTTTTATATACATGTGCATGCTTAAATTTACTTGTTCATATTTGTCTTATTATTTATTTATTTTTTTTGAGATGTACATTTTATGATTGTGTAGTTGTTCACGTTTTGTGTAACAACGAGGTATTTAAAAAAGTTTAAGTTTTTTTTTTGTTGCTGATTTTTATTCGTGTTGGATAAAAATCGTTGTGAGTGGAGTTTGTTTTAAATTCATCACTTTTTTTATGTAGCTATGAATACATTTTTTTGTATTCATGGTGAGGTATATTTAAAAACAGTTAAAAAAATTCTACGTAGAATTTAGTTACTTTTTAACTAAATTTGTTTGTAGAAATAATTTTTTAGTAATTAAAGTGGTGTTAAAAAGGTATAAACTTGCAATGCTTTTTTTTGTAAGTTGGAATTAATTAATTTTTGTTCAAAATGTTTTGTAGTTGTATACATTTTTTGTATACAATGAGGTATCGCAATATTTTAACAATTGTATCAACAATTGAAAAATTACGAGTAGAAATAATTTCATATAGAGTAATTAACCATGGTAATAATTTGGAGATATTCTTGAAATTATATCTTGGGGTTACTAGAAATTATTTCGATTGGATAATATTTCAATTTATGAAGTTTGTGATATAGGTAGGTATGAGAAGAAAGTGATTTAAAGTGATACTTAATAATTAATTGGCTGTGCTTCACTTGTTAACATTTATTTTTGTTAACAATTTGAATTGCCGATTATTTATAAATTTTAAAGTTTAAAAATAACCTTTTAATTAAATTTTCGGGTTCAGCTCGTTTATGGCCATTATCAGGCAACTTCATATTTATGTGGTTCCTGATGATGATTGTAAATAATTGAAACCGGTGACGTCCATGAAAAATACGTAGTTTTTAAATTTTTATTGGTATTCGTCATAGATCATATTGTTTGTTGTAAGCAATTTGAAACGTGGCAAAAATTCAAGAAGATGAAGTCAACGGTTTTGAGTAAGTTAAAAAAGAGTTTTTTGGTACATATTTTATGGTTGCGTATTATCATATTTATCTCAATATGAAGTTGTGGTGAATATGTGAAATGTTGCAATTATAATTTATCTACCATCTTAATAATTTCTTAACTAGTTGATATAGAGTGGGTAATATGCAACATTCGCACGATTAACTTCTGGCCCTCCCGCCAGGTTAATACGTATTTTGATGCATATTGCACACTCTACTCTAACTAGTTTTGAGTTTATTAATGGTGTATATGAGTTAGTGAGCAATGTATATAAAGCACAAGCTTAATTGGTCAGGATGAGTCCTGCTTGTATGAGTTGGTTTTTACAAATGCCTTGCATTTTTGAAACTGGCAATGTAGACATGTTTTGGGTGGGGTTGGTCTATGATTAGCCTTCTCCACTTAAATTGTGATTTGGCTGTTTCGGCTTATGCAGGCGATGTTTGAAAAAGGCACCTTTATGAGTCTTCTTTCCTCCAATAAAAGATGCGCTTTATTATTTATTGTACTATTCAACTGCATTATTAATAAGTGTTGTGTTAAAGCAAGATATTTTATAGATGCATATTATATTTATTGCAACGTGATGTTGTAGTGAATATGTGAAATATTGCAATTATAACTTATCTTGCATTAATGTGTTAAGGTGTTAATTTTGGAAAAAGTATTGGTTGTAAGTATTTTCTTTACAGGTTACTCATCACAGATTTTACAACAACATAAATGTTCCTAAAATTAATTTGTAGTTAAATTTGTTTGCAATATTTTTTGTAAATAAAATTTTCGCTTATAATTAATTTTAGGGAAAAAAGTGATTTATGCTTATTTCTGTAGCAGCTTTGAAGCTGTGAGGTATTTTTTTGGTAAGAAATCTAAAAAAGTTTATTTTTAAATCTTTTTTAAGATTGTTGCTATTTTTAATGTTATGGCGTGATCGGTGCTAAATGTTTGTGTGAATTTTAACTAAGCCAATACTTAAAAATTTGGCATCTAAATTTTTCCACATAAAGATCACATCTAATCAAATTATTGTGATCTTTGTTCTGGTTGGATTTAAATGCCATTTTTGAGATGATTAATGTTTAATTTATGATAAGTCTATTATATCAAAGAATCATTTTAATTATTAATGATACGATTATCATTATTTTTTAAACGATTCCTTGACCAATTATTTTTATCACACTTTAAGCATTATCTCTTAAAACAAGTTTGTCTTATTGAATGTATGTTTTTGTATGGGCGATTTTGTTTTCAGTTTTTCCCTATAGATATCTTCGTAGCGGATGAGACTCTTACTTTAGAGCGGCACCAATGTTAGTGCTGTGTTGCAAAATTTATGTGGAGTGTGTTAATAAAAACGTTAATTAAAAAATTAATCAAATTTGTAATAAATAATAATCTATAATTGTAACTTTTCTTTGAGTGCAACTTAAATATGTTAAAAAAATCCAAAATTGTTTTTAACGAAAATAGTTTTTCTGTATTTGAAAAAGGTAATACTGCGCAGTACTTTTTTCGAAATTGGGATATTATTCTTCGTTAAAAATTGAGGTTATTTAGTAAGCAGGCTAATAATTTTTTTATGAAAAATAATTTGTCTGGGTGGAGGTGGGCATAACAAAAAATTAGATTAAGCTTTTTTTTTAAAAATAAACCAAAAAAAGAGTAAATGAATAAGAGGTAGTTTGTAAAATTCGTATCAAGAAGGACAGGTTTGCAGCCATTGTGGAAAACGCTTCAAGTACAGGTCCGGACTCTACCGCCATGCTCTCTACTGCATCGAATGATGTCGAGACGACCCTTTCTAAAGAGGTTTCCGAAGATTTATAATGAGAAAGGTAATTTTTTGTTTCAAGAAAATCGTTTTTGATATTTAATTTCTTTTGCCTTGTGAATAAAATTCTTCAAAATTAAAATGTTAATCTACTAATGAAATTTAATTTTATTATTAAATTAATGTTTTAGTTTTGGGGAATTTTTTTGATTAAATTAACTTCTTAAATTGATTTAAATTTTATTTTGAAATAACTCAGTCGATTATTTCTTATTGTTGCAGAATCTTCATTTTCGCTATCCACCTTCAGTGATGATCTGCCGAAGAATCCATTTATCAATTTTTGTACATCAAAATTCTATGAATAAACATTTCAATCTGACTTGTAAATTATTTCTTTTTGTTTTCGTTTTTTCTCCTCAAATTGATCAAAAATATCTTCTTTCTCTATGAATGAAATTGGACGATTTTCGAGACATAATTTAATGCATGGTTTTGTGTTCTTTTTTTTTTGCTTAGGTCGAAAGTAGATTTTTTTTTTAATTTATAAACGTTTTTCAATAAGTACATCCTCGATAATTAGACTCTGTCTTTATCGAGGAAGGTACTTGATAATATCAGATGAGGCCATTACATAAAATGAAAATTTGAAAGCCAAGTGTGAAAAGAAATTAAGTTGTCTTCTGTAAGGTGCGAGTACAGCCCAGTACTTTATTTCTAGGCAACAAGTCGGCTTGGCATATGTCGATTACATCGGTTTCGACGCCCAATGGATTTCCATGCCTGAATTGCGGTAAACTCTACAAGCACCGTGGAAACATGCGTAGACACATGGTCTATGAATGTGGCAAACAAGCCAGATTCGAGTGCTCTTATTGTCCTCGAAGGTTCCATCAGCTGTCGAACTTAAAACGACACAGCGACAGCCAGCATAGAGTGAAAAAGATCAGACATATGCAAAAGATTTATTTGTAAAAAAAATTAATCCGATTAAGAAATCCTATTTAGAATTGGGTGTAAGGAAACGTTACCATTTACAAAACGCCAAAGAGTTTTTTTGCTTTATTTTATTTAATTTTTATTAATCTTTAAGAATAGATTTTTATTTTATTTTCAAAGTTAATCCAAAGATAGAGTTTATTGAGTTATACGTGCCATTTTCATTCTCAAGTCATTATTATTATTATTAGTTTATTGTGTTCCTTTAGAAGTGAAATTTAAATTATTGGAAAGTATCCTATTAATGGTTAAGGTAATGTGTAGGGAAGTTTTGTCCTTAAATGTAGTTACGAGATATATGAATATATACCAAAGAAAGGAGTCGTTTATTAATTTATGATAAATTTAAAATTTATTTAAAGAATGCATCAAATTATGTCTCGAAATTTCTAAAACATATAGAGTCGATTTAATTAAAAATTAAATTAATTCAAGATAGGGTATTATAGTTTAAATTCATATTAATTTTATATTATCAAAATCACTTTTGCTTAAGATTTCTAAAAAAGTTAATTTTTGTTTTTCACTTATATTATTTATAATAAACTTTTAATTTCTTGTTTCCTGGAATAATAATAAGCACTTTTATTTAAAATTCATTAACAATTTTCAATATATTCGACTCAAAATTTAAAATAACCCACATCACTTCATCAACATTCATCTTTAGCTACATAAGTACTTCAAACAGGTAAGAAAGTTTTATTTTATCTCTGGGGAATTACATCAAAATTAATAAAAATTTCGTTCATACAAACAAAATATTGCGTTAAAAATTCAAATTACAAAAAAATTAATCAATTAATTTCTAACTTCTCGTGTTTTTCTCGTAGGTAGTTAGTAAAAGTTCTTCTAAATTTTGTGATCTGAACTATTAATTAATTAGCGTAAATGTAGTTTTTTTGTCTTGGAATTAGGTAGGACGTATTTTTTTTGAGTTTGTTTTTTTTATAGAGATTTTTTTTGTGGGTGAAGTCATCAAAAAAATTCTCGCGTCAAAAACAAAGTTATTAACCTCGGACTATATTGCTTTTACAGAATTAACGAAACTAATTGGCCGCGAAAAGTGGAATATAATCCCAAAAAAACTCAAGGGCAAATCCAACAAGTTCATCCCGGTCTTGGAACCAGTCGTTTTGAATCCGGTTAAGTTGGAAACGAATTCGAATCATCCCGAAAGAAGGTTTCATTGTTCAAAGTGTTCGAAAAGTTACAAAAACAAGCGCCACTTATACAGGCACGAAAAGGAGGAATGCGTTGACGTCGCACCCAGATTTAGATGTCCGATGTGCGCTTCCGTGTTCAGGAGAAAATACCACTTGAGCAGACACGTTCAAACTAGACACACTTTTGAGTACAAATCTGATATACACAATTGATCAAAATTATTTTTTTGATATGAGTTGATAATAAATAATGGCGGGGTTAAAGATGGACTTATCCAGACTTAGATTAATATTGTGCCAAAAATTTTTATACCATTGTTAGGATTAATATAACTATTAATTTACCAATTTTGAAATGATAAAAGACTGCGGCCTTTATTAATTACCGTTTTTTAAGAGTATAAAATAGTTTAACTTTTGATACAATGATAACTTTATTGAGGAATATATTTATATTATGTATTTTCTAATTGTATTTTTTTGCAATAAATGCAACGTTTTATAATAATAATGAGGTTTTGGTGGGTTGGGTTGGGTTGGGTTAGTCCTTTTTTTTGTAGGTAGGGGGAAATTATCAAAATTCTTAGAAACTAACTTTAACTAGTTGAAAGCCAAGTTATTAATTTTCCAAGTCGTTGAGTTTCTTTGTTAAGGATTGTTGGACTCTCTTCACATCTGATTATATACTGCGTTTCTTAATGATGCTAATTGTAGATAGCACAAGGAAAAGCTCAGGTTAAGTTTTTTGACCGGTTTCAATTTGTGTCATCATCAGGTTTTCGGGAACCTTCTTTTTCGTTATAAAATAATCCAAATTTGATTGGATTTTTTTAATAAATTGATTTCGGTTATGTATTCTTAAATGTATTCTTAAAACTATTTCTTCCCCAAGCGGTGTATACAGGGGATTTCATATAACTCTCAATATATGAATCACTTGCACTATTCCACATAAAATGCAACATAGCTTAATAGTACCAGGAATTGGGTAAAGGAAGTAATGTTTCTGGTTCCAGATTTAGTGGTAGTTCTACTTTTCGTTTAATAAAAATATACTACAATCACGCTAAATAACAATTAAAACTAGAACTAACACTAGACCTAGAAATAGAAGCATTCGGGTTTAGCCGCACGTCTCTCAAGACGGCTAAACCCGAATGATTCTAGTTCTAGGTCTTGTTTTAGTTCTAGTGCAAAAGTTCTAGTGTTAGTTCTAGTTTTGCACTAGAACTAAGTTAGTTTTAGTGATAGCGCTATATAAATATGCAACATAGTGATATGCTAACTAGCGCTACTTATCACTGTCACTAGAACAAACATTAGACCTAGAACTAGAAACATTTGGGTTTAGCCGCACGTCTCTCAAGACGGCTATACCCGAATGATTCTAGTTCTGGGTCTTGTGTCAGTGCTAGTGTTAGTTCTAGTTTTAGTGCAATAAAATATGGACAACATAGTGGTATCTTATGCTAACTAGCGCTACCTATCACTGTCACTAGAACAAACATTCGGATTTAGCCGCACGTCTCTCAAGACTGCTAAACCCGATACTTTCTAGTTCTAAGTCTAGAGTTAGTTCTAGTTTTTTACTAGCACTATCACAATTTGGCGTGCAGCTAAACCCGAATGATTCTTGTTCTAGGTCTTGTGTTAGTTTTAGTGATAGTGCTAATAAATATGCAACATAGTGATATGCTAACTACCGCTACTTATCACTGTCACTAGAACAAACATTAGAACTAGAAACATTTGGGTTTAGCCGCACGTCTTTCAAGACGGCTAAACCCGAATGATTCTAGTTCTGGGTCTTGTGTCAGTTCTAGTGTTAGTTCTAGTTTTAGTGCAATAAAATATGGACAACATAGTGATATCTTATGCTAACTAGCGCTACATATCACTATCACTAGAACAAACATTCGGATTTAGCCGCACGTCTCTCAAGACTGCTAAATCCGAATGATTCTAGTTCTAAGTCTAATGTTAGTTCTAGCTTTTTACTAGCACTATCACTATCCGACGTGCGGCTAAACCCGAATGATTCTTGTTCTAGGTCTTGTGTTAGTTTTAGTAATAGTGCTAATAAATATGCAACATAGTGATATGCTAACTAGCGCTACTTATTACTCACTAGAACAAACATTAGACCTAGAACTAGAAACATTTGGGTTTAGCCGCACGTCTCTCAAGACGGCTAAACCCGAATGATTCTAGTTCTAGGTCTTGTGTTAGGTCTAGTGATGGTGCTAGTGCAAAACTCGAACAAACACTAGACCTAGAACTGGAAGCATTCGGATTTAGCCGCACGTCTCTCAAGACGGCTAAACCCGAATGATTCTAGATCTGGGTCTTGTGTTAGTTTTAGTAATAGTGCTAGTATAAAACTAGAACTAACACTGGACCTAGAACTAGAAACATTAGGGTGCAATAAAAATGTAGACAACATAGTGATATCTTATGCTAATTAGCACTACCTACCACTCTAAGATTAGACCTAAAACTAGAAACATTCAGGTTTAACGGTCTTAATAGATGCACGTTAAACACATTGTTTCTAGGTCTAGTGTTAGTTGTAGTGCTGGTCTAGTTTTTTTGTTATTCCAGATTGTTGTATCTTTTTTTTATTCAGCTATAACGGACACTGCGTGTCCCGTATTAATCCGTAATTATATTGTCATGTTGCATTTTATGTGGGATAAAGTAAGTAAAGGAAATAAATTTTTGTATATTGCATCTTAAGTGAAATTCACTGTATGTATAACAGGAACTATTTTATTAAGATACTTATCAAATTTTTAGGTTGTTTGTTGTGCTAACTTAAGAGAAGGTTCGTGAAATTCGCGAAACAATACCTTTTTCCTGATGATGCTCAAGCATTGAAACCGGTACGAAATGTCATTTTATAGCAAGATGATAAGAAAACAAAATTGTAGTGGATTTGGCCTTTTTTTCGAACAGTTTCTAATAATTATTAGAGATAATGATGTAATGAAATATCATACATGGTTTTTTGAGTATGCACAGCTATTTTTTTTGCAATAGCGCATGGCCAAGGGAAATTCTATAAGTATTCATGATACAAACGTATTTCTACTATTAAGAAGTCTTCTAAAACTTACAAGAAAAATCTGCACTACATCACGAATGAATATGAAGTTCACATTTATTATCATTACATATTTAATATTAAATTTGGTAACATTGAATAAAAAAAGAAAGTAGTGGTGATAG